ATTTAAAATAATAAAGGAATCCTAGAATTAAATTTTAAGACTAATCAACTTAATCCTCTGGGGCAGTGGTGGGGAACATCTGGCCCTCAACCATATTAGGACCAAGAAATTATTTGGTCTGGCCCTGCCAAGGCATTAGGGGCGAGTTAATTAAATGTTTGATCAAATACAGCAGGCTAATTTTTAATTTGATAGTTTAGTATGGCCCTTGAATGATGTTAGAAATATCCACATGGCCCTTGGTAGAAAAAATGTTCCCACCCCTGCCCTAAGGGACCTCTCTGGGCAACGCTTTTTTCTTCAGTTCAGTACTGGGTTCCACAGGCTCTACCTGTCTTGTCTTCCCATAACTCATTTCTGTCTCCTCCACTCAGTGTGATCACTAGTTCTGTCTGGGTTACCCCTCCAGCTACCACCCCCTCTCACCTTCAATGCTACAGTCTAACAGCCATGGGCCGGATCCGGCCCGTTTGAAATGAATAAAACTAAAAAAACTCTCAGGAGTCACAATCCTCCCCCTATTGTCTGAAAATCATTGCATTTTATAGTTTTCTGTCCTGTTTCCTAATTGTTTAGGTGCAGAACAATTCCTGTAGTAATACGTCCTTTATAGACAGAAATGGAAATATGTTGAATTTTCTGTTTAGTCTAGAGAATACATGTTTTTGCAACATTGAGTAGTACCCACACATGGGTATTTTGTTTTCAGGTCTGTATAACAGAACATAGCACCCAATTAACCACCATATAAGCACACTTACGCCACCACACATACACATCTATTCCGCATTAGCATCCAGCATTCTAATTTCCAGAAACTTAGGTAAAATGGCAGATTGAGAACATCAAGCATCATCCTCACACCTCCTTTTCTCCTCCCAAGATCACCAAAAGGATTGAATTGTGAATGACAACGAGGGTCACACTAACCTTTTCTGTTGTGATCACTAGTTCTGTCTGGGTTACCCCTCCAGCTACCACCCCCTCTCACCTTCAATGCTACAGTCTAAGGGAAACTGACCCAGGCATACACTATGCCAGTCATAGGTCATGCCTCCTTTCTTCTCCTCTCAGGAGTCACAATCCTCCCCCTATTGTCTGAAAATCATTGCATTTTATAGTTTTCTGTCCTGTTTCCTAATTGTTTAGGTGCAGAACAATTCCTGTAGTAATACGTCCTTTATAGACAGAAATGGAAATATGTTGAATTTTCTGTTTAGTCTAGAGAATACATGTTTTTGCAACATTGAGTAGTACCCACACATGGGTATTTTGTTTTCAGGTCTGTATAACAGAACATAGCACCCAATTAACCACCATATAAGCACACTTACGCCACCACACATACACATCTATTCCGCATTAGCATCCAGCATTCTAATTTCCAGAAACTTAGGTAAAATGGCAGATTGAGAACATCAAGCATCATCCTCACACCTCCTTTTCTCCTCCCAAGATCACCAAAAGGATTGAATTTGAATGACAACCTCGAGTCAAAAAGTTTGCCCAACCCTGGGGAAACTGACCCAGGCATACACTATGCCAGTCATAGGTCATGCCTCCTTTCTTCTCCTCTCAGGAGTCACAATCCTCCCCCTATTGTCTGAAAATCATTGCATTTTCTAGTTTTCTGTCCTGTTTTCTAATTGTTTAGGTGCAGAACAATTCCTGTAGTAATACGTCCTTTATAGACAGAAATGGAAATATGTTGAATTTTCTGTTTAGTCTAGAATACATGCTTTTGCAACATTGAGTAGCACCCACACACGGGTATTTTGTTGTCAGGTCTGTATAACAGAACATAGCACCCAGTTAACCACCATGTAAACACACTTACACCACCACACATACACATCTATTCCGCATTAGCATCCAGCATTCTAATTTCCAGAAATTTAAGTAAAATGGCAGATTGAGTACATCAAGCATCATCCTCACACCTCCCTTTTTCCCCCCAAGATCACCAAAAGGATTAATTGTAGTGAATGGCAACAAGGGTCACACTAACCTTTTCTAGTGTTATTTATTTACTTATTTATTTATTTATTTTTGACAGTATTACAGTTGTCCCCTGAATTCCCCCACTTTTACCCCCTCCTCCCAGGCCCTGCTCCACCCCAGGCCTTCACCACACTATGGTCTGTGTCCATTGGTTATGCATATATGTATATGAGTTCATCGGTTAATCTCTTCCTGTCTCCCCTCTCCACTCTCTGGGACATGTCAGAGGTTGTCTGTTCCATGTCTTCATGTCTCTGGACCTCTTTCGTTCATCAGTTTATTATGTTCACTAGATTCCACTTATAAGTGAGGTCATGTGACATTTGGCTTTTTTGATGGTTTATTTCACTCCGCTTAATACTCTCCAGGTCCCTCATGCTGTTGCAAAGGATAAGAAATCCTTCTTTTTTACAGCTGCATAGTATTCCATTGTGTAAATGCACCACCGCTTTTTTATTCACTCATCTACTGACTAGGACTTAGGTTATTTCCATATCTTAGCTATTATAAATAGTGCAGCTATGAATATAGGGGTGCATATGTTCTTACTGATGTGATTGGTGTTTCAGGCTTCTTAGAATATATTCCTAGAAGCAGGATCACTGGGTCAAACTGTAGTTCCATTTTTAATTTTTTTAGTAAATTCCATTCTGTTTTCCATAGTGGCTGCACCAGTCTGCATTCCCACCAGCAGTGCACGAGGGTTCCCTTTTCTTCACATCCTTGCCAGCATTTGTTTGTTGTTTTATTGATGCTACAGGTGTGAGGCGATGTCTCTTTGTCGTTTTAATTTGCATCTCCCTGGTGATCAGTGACTGAGCATCTTTCCATATGTCTCTTGGCCATCTGTGTGTCCTCTTTTGATTTATTTATTTTTTAATTTCTATTTTCTTGTACTTGCTAATTTAGGGTTAAAACATTTATATTAAATAGAAAATGTCTTTTGCCAGGAATTAAGTCAATCAGGATAACCCAGAGTAATGCCTGAAGCACCCCCAGGGGTGCTTACGGACCTTTGTGGGTTGCTTCTCATGATCTTCTCATCAACAAACCCAGGTTCTTCTGAAGAAGCACGAAGCCTTCCTAGTGGATCTCAATGCATTTGGAAACAGTATGCAGGCTCTACGGGATCAGGCAGAAGCCTGCCAGGTAAGAAAAGGTTAGGGATGACAAGAGTCACAATGCCCACAACAAAGACGGAGGAATTCTCGTAGTTACTGGGTTTTATTTTCCATAATCCAGGAAATTATTGCAAAGAAAATAATAAGTTCTATGATCCTATGTATGAAAATTGCAGCATCTTCATAGCATCTACAAAGATTCAGTCCATAAGGATTTCTAGATACATGTTATTTTTCACTTTCCTCTTTCCTTCTGTGTATATTTTCACTATTCTTTTTTATTATCTCTTTTGTTTGCATCTCTTCCTCATATATTTCTTTTTGATTCCTTTCCTTCCTTTATTAGTCTTTTCCTATACCAACACTTATTAAATGTCTACCATATGCAAACATGAATAAAAACAATCCAAATTTTTAGGAAAATTGTAGTCTTCTATTTTCTTGTACTTGCTAATTTAGGGTTAAAGCATTTATATTAAATAGAATATGTCCTTTGCCAGGAATTAGGTTAATTGGGATAACGCAGAGTAATGACTGAAATACCTCCAGGGGTGCTTACGGACCTTTGTGGGTTGCTTCTCATGATCTTCTCATCAACAAACCCAGGTTCTTCTGAAGAAGCACGAAGCCTTCCTAGTGGATCTCAATGCATTTGGAAACAGTATGCAGGCTCTACGGGATCAGGCAGAAGCCTGCCAGGTAAGAAAAGGTTAGGGATGACAAGAGTCACAATGCCCACAACAAAGACGGAGGAATTCTCTTAGTTACTGGGTTTTATTTTCCATAATCCAGGAAATAGTAAGTTCTATGATCCTTATGTACAAAAATTATAGCATCTTTATAGCATCTACAAAGATTTAGCCCATAAGGATTTCTAGAAAAGTGTTATTTTTCATTTTCCTCTTTCCTTCTGTATATTTTCACTATTCTTTTTTACTATCTCTTTTGTTTGCGTCTCTTCCTCATATATTTCTTCTTGACTCCTTTCCTTCCTTTCTTAGCTTTTTCCTATACCAACACGTAGAAAATGTCTACCATATGCAAACATGAATAAAAAATAATCCAAATTTGCAGGAAAATTGTAGTCTTTGTTGTTGTTAATTCTCACCTGAGGATAT